ATAATGCATTAAAACTGTTGTTATGATTAATCATGAGATGATATTGCATATAAGTTTTTTTTTTTATAATACATTATGCATTTATTATAATGCCTTAAGAATACCCTTATAATATATTATAAATACAGGCTTCATAGAAAGTGTTACCGGGTGGCTCTCTGTTTGAAACAGGGAAGCAGTGCAAACAAATTAAAAAAGTATTTGTGAATACTACTACTACTACTACTAATAATAATAATAATAACCCAAATCTGATGAGATTTGAGTAACATTGTGTTGTTCATTAAATACTATTAAGGTTTAAATGATGCTTGGACCCCTGAAGGGATCTTTTCAGCTTTTATTTTTCCTGGTTATTGTATATTCCAGTAAAGCTCATTTGAATGCTCTGGATAAACTCTTTTGTTTGCAGGCTGTATTGTTTCAGATGTGCAGCAGACAATAGGAATAGCAGGATACACAGGTGGTTCAGTTGTGCTGCCCTGCTCCTGTGCTGACCCTCAGTCTACAGTCACGACATTCACCTGGCACTTTCAGCAGAGAAATCAATGGATTCAAGTATTTCAAGATGAGAAATACAGCGGCAGACGTGTGCTGTTTGATGAACTTTCTCCAACAAATCGGTCTCTTCTCATTTCTGACCTCAGAACGAATGACCAGGGCTACTATAGATGTATGACCGAACCAAACATTATTACATACGTTGACTTAAATGTTAAAGGTAAGTGGAAATTTGGAGCTGGTGACAGACGCAATATCTTTAAATTTTACTTCTACTGACCTTTGAGTTTCTCTTGCACTTACTACAATGCAGGCCTTTTTTGGTTGCAATGTTACGCTGAAATCATTTTAGGATTTTTTTTACTTACATTTTACTTACAACTGAAATATAATATAAACATCATTTGTATAATGTTTTCAGGGTGTGATTTGGTTGAGAACAGAAAGACAGCTGTAGTGACTGGATATTCAGGAGAGTCTGTGGTTCTGCCCTGTTCCTGCACTGAACTACAGGCTAAACCTGAACACATACAGTGGAATTATTTCAAAGAAAAGAAACATAAAGAAATTTACCCAAATGAACAAATTGAGAATTACAAGAACAGAGTCAAACTGTTCAATCCAAACACTCCAGGAAATCTTTCTCTACACATATCAGCACTGACCACAGAGGACCAAGGGCACTATCAGTGTTTTGTCTCGTCTCAGCAAGTAGTCGCTGTCAGACTTCGTGTTGAAGGTAGTTTTCTTCTATTTCTGTTGTCAGATCGCCATTGCTATTAATTTTGTTTTTACGAAGAATCTAAATATTTAGAATAATGATATCAACTTGTAGATAACATGCTTTTTTGTGTTATATTATCACTTACACTTATTGGCTTCTGAACAGAAAAAACTTGTGTCCACCCAATCAATTTAACAACAGATCAACCTTCACACCTAACACAAGACTCCACTACTTCACAACTTAAACTGATTCCACAACATCACACACCTCAATGTAAGTCACAGGCTTTGGTTACAATATTGTTTTCTCATTATGTTTAAAGTGTTTGTATTTAATTGTTTTAAAATTATGCATGGAGCTTTTATGAGCTCATATTGAGAAATATTTATCCATATTTGTACTACATAAAAAAAGAAAAA